TGTTTATTTTCTAATTTATATATTGTATCAGTTCTGCATTACTATAAAAATGACTATCTGATTAACCATTGAAGCAATGACAGGAGGTCAACATGGATGTGGAAAATGATATTGCACCTGAAAATGTTGAACTTCGGAGGATTCCTCAGAGGAAGGTGACAACTCGTAATATCCTAGAGTGCGACATGTCATCAGATACAGCTGTGCATGAACTCTTGGAATGCCCCATCTGTACGAATGTTATGTACCCGCCTATTCACCAGGTTATTCCTTTTCTAATCTCATTTTCAACTTCTTGTACAGCAATTGACTGTTTGCTTTCCTATATTCGCATTATCAAACAGCCCAAGTCTTGCTGATTTTAATTTTTACAGGGTTTGTACCTTTTTATTTATTACTACACAAGTTTAATAGGGTGCGACCAAATTAACTAGTTGCAATTCCCAAAAAACTATTTGTTCTTTTTCATAATCAAGCTCCATCTTACTTGTGACAATTTGCAATTTATGCTTCTGTTTTATATAAAAAAAAAAAAAACCATATCGAAGATGAATTTAACTGTAGCTAACATATTTTTCTGTTATTTACTTCTCATCTAGTGCCCAAATGGCCACACCTTATGCTCCAAGTGCCAGTCAAAGGTACGTTGCTGCCCGATTTGCCGCCGCCAGCTCAGCAACATAAGGTGCTTGGCCCTCGAGAGGGTTGCCGAGTCTCTTGAGCTGTCTTGCAAATACCAAAGCCTCGGCTGTCAAGACATATTTCCTTATCTTGACAGGCTGGGGCACGAGGTGAATTGCCGTTTTCGCCCTTACAACTGCCCATATGCTGGGTCTGAGTGTCATGTGACGGGGGATATCCCGTTTCTAGTGGGGCATTTGCAGGTTGATCATGAGGTGGATATTCATGATGCCTCTACTTTTAACCACAGATATGTCAAGTCCAGACCAGAGAACGTCGAGAATGCCACGTGGATGCTGACTGTAAGTGGCTGTCCTTTTTGTGTTGGTTATTTATATTATGTTTTTACCGAGTTTTGTTCTTGTTTGATTTAGCATTGTTTTTAGCATCTTTAAAATATACACGGGTTTGTTACTCGAGAAAAATTCCCTAGAAGTTTAGTCTAAAAAAAAAAAAACAGTTGCTGGAAAGCATTCTTGATAATTGATTTGGTTTTACAATCTACTCCATCTGAATAGAGAGTTGGTGTTAAGGAAATAGACACAAAATTCAAAAGGGTTCAACTGCATTACGATCAGAGGGGCATTCGTAGTTTCGAAAGATTTAAAGTTGAATTTATTCTTTTTGTTTATTTGATTGTTTTTTCTAATCGGCTAATCCCTAGGGGAAGTTTCTGTAATGTCTAATACCTTACTTTTCCACTCCCTTTATGTTTATAATTTTTCATGCTAGGTTCTTCTTTTCATTATACTTTTTTTTTTTAACAAACAATAACTATTTTTAATATAACAAAACTTATACATAAAATGATCCTCCTCTATGGAATAACACGGCGACCAAAGGAACTAAACAAAACAACAACTAAAAAACAAAATACATGGGAGACAACAAACTCCCACAATGGTAGACTAACCACTAAAATAAACACACATGAGAACAAACACTGTTGGAAAGGAAAAGGAAACAGATCAATGGATGCAAGAAACTAGAGTTTTATACTTGGGCTCTGTAATGTTGTTAAGCTCAAAATGATCTTCTCAATGAGGATTACAAGAATATATAGAAGCCAAAAGACTCCTAAGAAAGGAAAATAATCAAAGAACCTACTCTACGGATTTACCATATCACCTAATTGATAAAATCTAATCTATACCATAATTACGATAACACTCCCCCTACACGCTGCCTCAAGTTGGAGCATATAGATCAATTATGTCGAATTTGTTACAAATATTTTTCGTTCTTACACCATTTATTGCTTTTGTAAAAGCAAATATGACCCCCAACTCATCCTCGGACTTGACATATCTTGTAGTGACGAAACCTTCTTCGACCTTATCACGAACGAAGTGGTAATCTATCTCGATGGTCTGTTCATGGTTCGATGCAATGTGGTTTGCTGGTTGGTTGTCACACCAAAGTGTTGCTTGGAGAGTTCTAATCCAAGTTGTTTTAGTAACTGATGTATCCATACAATTTCACATATTGAATCGGCCATCGACCTATACTCTGCCTCAACAACTGAATGAGAAACAACATTTTGCTTCTTGCTTCTCCACGAAACTAGATTGCCTCCCACAAATATACAGTATTCAGAAGTCAGTCGTCTATCATCTTTGCAACCTGCGTAGTCAACATTACAATATGCTTGGTCTGTCCTAGCTTTTGAACTACTGTCGCCATAAAAGACAAAGAACTATATCAAACTCCTCAAAGAAAGCCAAAATAATGCTGGCATAAGTGCAGCTGCTTCTCGACGCGTGCTTGGTACGTGGAATTTGTCTCGTGTGTCTAACATGTCTAACAAGAACAAACCTAAAACACAAAACGAAACTGCATATTAGAATAAAACCTTCCCTCCCAACAAAACCACCTCGCTACAGCCACCACAGACTTTGCGCGTCCGCTACAACAAAACCAAACAAATTCTTGTGGCTTCTCCTCGTAAACAGGAAGAAAACAAAAAGTACAAAAATCTTACCAAAATTTAAACAGNATACAAATTCTCACCAAAATTTGATTTCGCTTATTTCGTATTGTTCCCTTTATAAAAAATAACTAGTCATTCTGTCTCCCATTTTTTAAATCTGAGCAATACTCACTGCATCTAATATTTTGCCTTTTCTCTTTCAGATCTTCAACTGCTTTGGCTACCAATTCTGCTTGCACTTTGAAGCTTTCAACCTCAGGATGGCCCCGGTTTACATGGTGTTTGTTCGTTTCATGGGGCACGATGATGACGCGCGAAAGTTTCGTTACAGCGTGGAAGTCGGCTCAAACGGCCGGAAGCTGACATGGCAAGGAATCCCCAGGAGCATTCGTGATAGCCATACAGAAGTAAGGGACAACTTGGATGGTCTCATCATCCACAGAAACATGGCCCTCTTTTTCTCTGGAGGTAATGGGAGAGAACTCAGGCTGAAAGTGGCCGGACGCATATGGAAAGAACAAGCATGAGAAGAAAAAAGAAAAAAAAAAGGAGAAAATATGTTGTGTATCTTGGGTTCGTGGGCCGAGGTTCGATGAACAGATAACATGTGTATAGAAAACAGACTCATGGGGATGGTATAGAGTAAACTATTAACCAGCAAAGTTGTGAGTAGTTACTTTTGAAGAAACTGGTTGTTTAAAGTGATGAATCATTGTGTTGTTCTTGTACTGAGAATGCATTACAAGCCAGTGGTGTATAATATAATAGAGGTGAAAAGGTGTGTTGTACTAATGAGAAAGACAATGTTCAGTTGGTTTAACATGGCAGCTAGAGCAAATGATTCATGTCTACTTGTTCCACATTATGGACGGCAATGTGGTATGCCATTCGATATGCATATTTGTCAAGAAGATATATTTGGCTTATGTAGGTTTCACAATTGTCCCATCTTTCACCATTCATTTGGTATCATGTGTTAATTCAGAATAGTACATGCCACATTGTCACTTTCTTGTACACAACGATAAAAAGAATTGCATTTTTATAAATTTTTATTATGATAAAAAGTGAAGTAAAACGAACACTTATATCTTATTATCAACTAGAAACTGAAAGGACAATGTTTGTGAAGGAGAATCAAGAGAGAGTTTACAGAAATTGAAAGGGAAAAAAGTGAGTAACCAAACCCTAGTTTTTGCTACATATACTAATCTAGGTACACTAAAATTACTACTAATAATAAAAGCGTGTTTTACATTATAAAACATAAAATACAACTTATAACTCGAATATCCCCCGGAAGAGGAACATGGGTATTAATAATGTTCATCTTGGAAATACATTTATGAAATGGTTGAGGACAAAGAGCTTTGGTCAAAATCATGGTTCCCGGTCATCGAACTGGTGAAGCTACCGGTTCAATGGTTCACTGGTCGGACCACTGGTCGAACCGGTTTAATAATATATCTAATTTTTTATTTATTTTATAAGTACAGTATATAATTGTATATTTTTTTAACATTAATTTTATAGCATGTAATGACATTTCTCTAATTAAGAGTTTATAATAGATACAATCCACAATTTTACATAGTGTTCATGATTATTTTTATTATTTTTTTTTCATATTTTAGTCAATATTTAAATTACAAAATTGAAATAATAGATCCAAGTTTGTATTTTAATGTTTAAATCAGATTTTATGCTTTTATTTTATTTTTTCATTTTTTCACTTTTTGTTTAACGAAAATCATATTTTTAGAATATATATTGCAGTTGGATCCACCATACATAACACAACAATGTTGGCACAAGTCACCAGGCCTAATAATATGATCCCTGCCTTTTTTTGGGAAAATTTCATCTATCCTACAAGATCCTAAAAATATTGCAAAAATACAATCTATAAACAAATAATGACATCTCTACCTAATAGATAACATATAACTACATTAATACTAAAGTCAATTACCATAGTCATTCAACCTCTATCCCACTTTTTATGGGCTTGATTAAGAGAGAGAAATGAAAAAAATGCATATAATAAATAACTAAATCCTTTAATTCACGTAGCTGTCCAGATGGTATATGTTGCGTTTATGTTAGTATATATTCAGTATATATTCAGTATATGTTGCAATGAAAAACATGTCTTCCATTAAAAAATTATGTCTTCTTGTTTTTTT